CCCCGCTTGCGTCATCAATATCGCAGATGCACTGGATGATGGTCGCCCCCCCCCCCCTCCCTCGGCCCACGCACACAGGCCGAGCTTGTCCTCCAAGCGGCCTGCTGCACTGCTGCATCGGAGGTCATCAGAGGGAATTGCCATATTTCGGTTCGGTTTTTGTTTTCTGGCGCGACTATACCCCACGCTCGCGGCGGTGTCTGGAGGCGGGGTATCGGCAGAGCGAGGTCACACGCGGGGTCCCCGGCAAGCGCCCGCCGCCGCCGCTCCGAGTTTGGTCCAGACGCGAGGTGTGACCCCAAACAGATCGTGCCTTCGTGCCCGGCCGCTGCCGCTGCGTCCTGCGCATCCAAGGGCCCAACGCCATACGCGCGCGGCGGGGCGCGGCGGGGCGCGTGTCGGCCAGCGCAAACACCGGCCCGGGGCGTGCCGGGCCCGCGGAGAGAAATCGCGCTGGGTCCTGAGAGGCACGCGAGGCGCGGGGCGCGCTCGTCCACGTGGACGACAGGTCAAAAGTCCCTTTAACTTCGTCAGAAAAAAGCGGGCAACCTGCTGCAGTGATTATCACCCGCGCGGGCGATTTTTAGCAAATGATGATTCGACTTAAAAGATCCAAGAAAGACTAAAAACGACTGAAAAAGAATAAGGAGGAACTAATAGTGTAATGTGTACTCAGCTTTTGTTGTCATCTCCTTCGCCTCGATCGTCCTGAATGTGCGTGTCGTGGGTGTTTGTGGCAGGTCAGGTCGGGTGGGCCATCGGCCAGTGGTGGTGGGACACAGGATCCCTCACATGTCCCGCCGGGATCGGGGCTGTCCTTATCTCCAGCTCTGTCGGACAGGTCGGGTGGTCGGGTATCTGGGGCTGGCGGGGAACCCGATGGGCTGCGACAAGCTGCGACTGAAAGGCACCCAGTCCGGGACTAGTTTTGTGCAACTAACTGCAGTCTCCGCCCGTATGGAAAGCCGTGGCTAAATATAATGGGAAGACCGCTAAGACGGACGAACTGTCTTCGCACTATGGCCTCTCCGTCGCCAGAAAATAAGGCATTCAGAAAAACTGTTACTTTTGCCCAAACTGCGCAGTTACTGTTCTCTTACACAGACTAGTTTCGCCCACACTGCCCACACTGCTCCACGCGTTACAGACATAGCGGTCACCGCGAAATGGAGCCTCTGGCCGTTCACTAAAACTATGGACGCAGAACCCGCAGAGCTGGCTGCAGAGGGACGCGTCGCGTTCAAGTCTCTGTGGGGGGTCTGCGGGGACGTCGCGTGGCCGCGTGCACGTACGCCAGGGTGCCACCGGGACCAGACGAAGGGTGCCGCCGACCTACCTGGACTCCTCTCCCCGCCCTGTCCAACCTCTGCCCCCGACTCCGTCTCTCGTCCGCGACGCGCCGGGGAAGTCACGCACCGCATGCTGCTTCTGCTGCGTCCACGGAGAACGGAGACGGGCCTCGGCTGGGTGAAAAACCTCGCAAGACGGCCGAGGAAGCATCCCGCACTCGGGACAAACTCCGTTTCACTTCACAGCGCGGCGTGCAGAAAGAAAAACAGAACCAACATAACTTCTTCTGCTTGTTGGTGATCATTACATGCGCTCGGCGTCGTGCCGCGGCAGCCCGGGGAATTTGATTTAAACCGGGAGCCTTGCGTCCGACCGACCGACGGAATTCGTTTATTGTCGGGGGGAGGGGCTGCTGGAGTGGGGGGAGGGGGAGTCGGAGGCGAAGAGGTGCTCCTCAGGTAGGCTATACAAGCTGCGGTGTG